TGACAAGCAGCCTTTGCTCCTGGTACAGAATGTTTAATTTTGTATTGAGAAATTTCAGCATTTCATTGCTTACAGGGTTGTACAGTCCTGGCAGGGGCAAACTCTGTAGGAATGCGGTTTTCCTGCAGTACCTTCAGTGCTTTCATTGTTTGATTTCTAAAGAAATAAAGCTTAACACAATTGTAAAGGTTATTTTTAGGAACTTCTGAACTGTTGATCAGGTTAGCTATGCCTGAGAGCAGTCAGGATCTCAAATTTCCTGTGGAAGGGGTTGGGTAGTTCTGCCCACATTCTTGGGAAAAACTGAAGGATATTTTGTCTTTTTTAGTTACAAAGGAATCAATGAAGCATTGCAGCATTTACAGGGAAAACCTGAGGCTCTGTCCCTTCAGAGGCAGATTTAAGTAGAGAGACAGTGCCACAGGAAATCAGGACTGAAAAATCTACTTTTTACATGTTCATCTGGGGACTTCTTGTAGGAAAGTACAATGTTTCTATGAAAGTATGTTTTATGGCAGAATGGGGATGATAGGATATTGTAACTTCCTTAGGCCTTAATAGGAGTGCTTGGGCTCATTTGAAATAGTTTAAATAGTTTATAAAGATATCAGAAGGTGGAATTCTAAGTAGTCAAGGCATGTTTGTCTTCTCAAGGCTGCTCTGAATTTCGTATTATTTTCCTAAATGCTGGGTAGGTGTTGCTGAAAAACTAAACACCTGTTTGTTATTTAAGTTCAAAATACTTAATTTTCTTGCAATGGCTATCACATGTATTAATGCCTGTTAATAGACCTCACCTAAAGTACCTTGTTTGTCATGCAGAGATTTGCACTTAGCACTGGTAAGAAAAGCATCATGGGGATTATGGATGCAACTCTGTCATGCAGAAAAACGACATTATTTTAAAGGAGGTTTAAGTAGTAGGTGAAAAATGGATAGAAAGTTCAGTGAAGCACATTTATTTCTATCTGAATATTTTGTGTGTTTATGTCTAGGTGAAGTGGGATTCAAATTTCTCTTAATTCTTGGATTTTCAAAATTAAGGTTTTCCCTGTTGAAGAATATCCTTGGAATTTAAAGACTACTTACACTTTTTTAAAAAAAAAGTTGAGTTCTCACATTTTGATAAGATGTTCTTATCAATCTGTTGCTGTTACTCAGTTCTCACAATGAATATTTTGAATAATATTATGCATATTCTATTTAAAAACCTGTACTAAATAAACTCAACTGCAGTATTTAAACATGTTCCTGAGCCTGTTTCAGTATATGTGGAGAAGATAGATGCTATAAGGGCAAGAAATGCTTATCTAAACACTTACTAAACCAAACTTAATTTCCTAAACCACTCTCATCTGTGGTGAAGCATTTTCTTCCCTGGGTATTTTGATGCTGATCTTTCTTCCTTTCATTGGTGTGAAGACTGTTGTTTATCCTCTCTGGAGCGTGCAGTAGCATCCTGAGTGTTGTGTTGAGTCCTAAACATACCCCTCTTTTTTATCTAGGGATGGGTCCTTGCACGTTACCTGCACGGATCAAGATACCGGGAAGTGTGAAATCATCACTGTTGAAGTGGCATCGTAGCCTGTTGTGAAAAGCAACATTTTTTCTAAGTTGATTTCTGTCTCTTACTGCCTTTTCTGCCAAAGCAGCGACTCTCTGGGATGTCTTCGATTCTTAGAGGACTGTAATACACTCAAGTAACACATTAATTTGCCACCAAGTCTGTTTGGAGTGGAAAGCATGGTGCAAAATGTTAATCAAGACGTGCAGACAGCAGGTCATTGAATTATCAGCACTTGATTTTAAAAATTCAGAGCACAAGTGCTTGTGCCTGTGGTTCAGCAACAAGCATATTATATACACAGTCTGAAGATTTCTCCTTTCAGCTACTTTGCAGGTCCTGTACCTTTTCAGCCAGTATTCCTGTGGCTTCAACAGCTCCAGGTTCAATAGCTTTGAACCAATGAGAGTTAGACTGGTGAATATCCACTCTCTGGTAACTGCACCAAATTGTAAATGAAATTCCGTGAGGTCTTGATGTTGCCCAAAACCGTGAAGGTGGTGCCTATTCATGCTGGCCTATTGAGCTGTTTTGTGTTGTTTGGGTTTTTTGGGTTTTTTTCTGGATTAACTGTAAAATGGTTTTGTGGTATTACCTGGATGATATGTGTAAGAGTTAAATGTGCTTATTTATGTGTTATTAAAGTCCTTTTTTTTTTTTTTTTTTTTTAATGTAGATCTGGCATTCTCCATTCTGCGTGGCATTGTTCCAACCTCTATGCCATGTATCTGGGTATAAACTGCAGGATTTTTCAGTAAGGAGATGGAGCAGGCAAGTGTAGTTATGGGATTTGAGCGTCTCAGCCTAATGTGCAGTTAAGGGGCAACAGTTCAAGCTGACAGCCAGGTGCCTTAAAATACTAAAAATGCCACAAAGACCCTCAAAATCAGAAACTAGAGCAGGGCTGCCTGTCTGGATTTGAAGAGACCTGTGTTCAATTACTTGTTTTAATACAGGCTTCTCAAATTGTCTTGTATTTCAATATTCTTCCTATCTTACAAAAGCAATAGATACTGTCTAGCATAGTAGCCTGTGAAAAAAGGAAAAAATTAGGCCTGCCTTATCCCTGGCTGTGGAAAATGAGTAAATAGTTCATAGGAGCATAAAATATCCTGGAGTTTGAACAAATCCACAAGGATTATCAGTTCAACTCCTGCCTCTACACAGAGTAACCTTAAATCTCACTCCATATGTCTGAAATTATTGTCTCAACATCCTCTGAACTTGGACAGGCTTGGTGCTGTGACCACCTCCCTGAGGAGCCTGGCACTACCCAGCCCCTGTCTGGGTGAAGAAGCTTGTACTAATATCCAACCTCAACCTCCCCTGGCACAGCTAATGCTGGTCCATCGGGTCCTGTTCCTGCCTGCTCCTTCTCTCTTATGAGGAAGCTACAGGTGCTGAGGTCTCCCCTCAGTCTCCTCCAGGCTGAACCGATCAAGTGCCTTCCCTCAGCCACTCCTCATATGGCTTCTCCTCCAGACTCTTCACCATCCTCAGGGCCATCCTTTGGACATTCTCTAATAGGTTGATATCTTTCTTATATTGTCGAGCCCAAAACTGCCACAGTATTCAAGGTGGGCTACCCTAGAGCAGAGCAGGACAATCCCCTTCCTCACCTGCCTGGCGATGCTTTGCCTGATACCCTCAGGACAGGGTTGGACCTCTTGGCTACATATTCAACTTGCCATCAACCACGATCCTCCAGGTCCATTTCCACGGCACTGCTTTCCAGTATCTTGTTCCCCAGTCTGTCCCTACATCTGGGGTTACCCCAGCCGAGGCCCAGAATCCAGAACCTTCTCTTGTTGAACTTCATAGGGTTGGCAATTGCCCAGTCCTCTAGTTTGCCCAGGTCTCTCTCCTCCCAGTTTAGTATCACTACCAAACTTATTTAGTACCCCTTCAAATCCTGTGTCCAAGTTGTTAATGAAGATGTTGAAGAGCACTGGGCTGGGGATGGAGCCCTGTGGAACCCCAGGAGTGACATGAATGCCAGCCTGATGTCATCCCGTTCACTGTAACTCCTTTGTGCCCAACCTCCGAGCCATTGCTCACCCACTGTGTAACATGATTAGTTATCTGTATCCAGAAGGATACTCTGTGACACAGTATCAAAAGCTTTACTGAAATACAAAAACATAGCACCACCTGGCTTCCCCTGGTACTGAGGGATTCCTTGTTGTAAAAGGAAATTCAGTTTGTCCAGCAATGTTTTCATGAAGCTTTGCTGATGTAATAATCTCCATAATTTTACTGCTGAAGTGAGACTGGCAGGCCTGCAGTTCACTGGTTCCTATGTGAAAACTTCTAAAGTGGATCTTGGAAAAGCTAGTGTCAGGGAATGTAGGGGCAGTGGAGCTCTACAGCCTTATAAATAAATACCCATGAAGACACAGCGAGGCACTGTTTGGTTGGGTGCAGGTTTGTGGGGTTTGGAGCAAACTTAAAAGCTCTACAGCTACCCCGAAGGGGGTTGTAGCCAGGTGGTGGTTGGGCTCTTCTCCCAGAAAACCAGCAACAGGAGGGAGGACACAGTCAAACTGTGCCAGGTTTAGGTTGGACATTAGGAAGAATTTCTTCACAGAAGGGGTGATTGCATGTTGGAATGGGCTGCCCAGGAAGGTGGTGCAGTCACCGTCCCTGGAGGTGTTCAAGAAAGGACTGGACTTGGCATTCAGTGCCCTGGTCTGGTTGACACGGTGGTGTTGGGTCACAGGTTGGACTCGATGACCTCAGCAGTCTTTTCCAACACGACGGATTCTGCGAAAGCCACGTGAATAGGAAACACCTAATCTGAGGAGGGCGCTGCGATCACGGTGTAACTTTTTTTTTTTTCCCCACAAGAAGAGCCTGAACCGTTTCTCCGCGGTTCCTGCTTTCAGCTGTGCCGCTGATAAGCGCGGGGGAGCTTTAGATCCGCCCCGCTCCATCGTACCCTCCGTCCCGCCGCGTTCCCGGGCGGGCCCCGCCGGGAGCCCCTCACGGCCGAGGCGCGAGGGGAGGGGCGGGGGCGGCGCGCGCCGGGGCCGCGCTCTGTGCCCCGCCCCCTTCCGGCGGGGGGCGGAGCCCGCGCGGGCCGAGCGCTGCCCTCCCCCAAGATGGAGGGCTGGCGAGGAGGTGAGGGGGGAGCGCGCCGGGGTCGGGGCCGCCCGGGGCTCTGCCCGCCCCGCCCGGGCCATGGGGGGGCAGCGAGGACCGAGCGAGGGCGTGAGGGGAGGCTCCCGCCCGCTCTGGGCGCTGCCAGCCGCTGCCGCTCCCCCTTGCCCGGCTCCGCCAGGACCGTCCGCACCGCCCCCGCCCTCAGCCCCTCGGCGGGGCGCGGAGGGAAGGGACGGGCGGGGGGTCCTGCCCGCTGCCCCGGGGGGTCCGCCCGCCTCCCTGAGGAGCCCGCCCGCTGCCCCAGGGCCGCTGTGGGAGGCGGGCGGGAGGGAACCACCGGTCGCGGGTGGGAGGCGGGAGAGGCGCTGGGTCCTGGCGCGGCCGCGGAAAAGGCACCGCCGCCCCCTCCCGCCTTCCCGAGCTCCCGGCGCCGGGACCGGGAGAGCCCCGCGGAGCCCCGAGCGCGGCCCCGCCGCTCCCACGCTGCGCTCCATCCCATCCCATCCCGGTGCTTCCCGGGCGCTCCCGCCGAGCCGCCCCGCGGGGTGTCGCGTCCCCCGAAACCCGCCCGGCTGACGGGGCACCCGCGATCCTTCTGGAAGAGCGCCGTGGGTCTCTGCTTCCTCGTCCCGTCTCCATGGCTGCATCGCGAGTGGTCCGTTGCGCTTGGCTACGGAAATTTGGCGGTCTGCTAAAGAATGGAGGTTTCCTTCTTGCCGTGGTTCAGTTATGGGATGCTGTAATTGCAGGAAAATTGCTCGGTGCTTAGTGCAGCTTTAGCCCTCCAAAATATTTGCTGTTCTTTATAAATGTACGTACTGTGCAGAATAAAGGTGCAGGGAGGGAATCACTGGCGTGTTTCAATCGACCCGTTAGAGAAGGGTTGAGTTTCAGACGCTACTGCTTAACAAGAGACTCGTGGACTGCTGTCACAAATGGTAATGTGGGGACTCTGGGATAAGGCAATAATGATTTCAATTTAGCTGAGACATTAAATAGGATTCTTTACCAATTTTCTTATTGTAGCCTGGTATGTGCCATGTCTAGCTTCACTTGAGACCCTTCAAGAATTATGTAGGAAGGAAAATCTCAGATGTAAATCCATTGGAATCACCAACAGGAGTCTAAAGAGTTATGAGGTGGAATATTTGTGTGACTACAAGGTAGAAGAGGTAAGAGAAACACAGACCAATCTGATCACTCTTTCAGCTGAAATTTGGAAGTGAGCTAAAGGTAGTTTTGCTCGTAATATAAAGCAGCAGGGAGGACAAAGCTTTTGCCCTCATCAAATTAAATCTCTTTTAAACTTTGAGCTGTAAACTGAAAGTGGTGTAAACTGCTGATTTCAGCCTGTGGAAGGAAGATCTTTTCCTGAAATGTTAGAATATGAAATGTTTCATCTTTGTGTATCTAGAACTTAAATAAGATGCTGTTGCTTTAGGTGGTAGCTTGGTATGAATTATGATGCCTCTCCTTTATTTGCAGACAACCATCTGTATTTCTCTTTTGACACTTTCAGTCTGTTTGATGAAGAGTTAGGGCCATGTGCTGCAACTGGATTCCTTTGAAATTCAGTTTCAGGGTTTGGCCTTGTTACAGTTATTTGGCCTTTTTAAAACAAGTACAAAATGTATGCTGCTTCATTGTAACCACAATATTAAGTGTATCAAACTAGTTACTGCTTTGGGAGGATGGTTGATGTAACAAACGATAGGGTTTAGACTTTTCTGCTAAATTTTGGATTTTTTTTTTTTTTTTTTTGCTCTGTATGTATTTCAACTACATTCTACTTGTGCATACGAGTCATACAGCAAGTTAGCATAACTTGCCACCTGCCTTGACAAACTAGCCTCCTCCTCCAGGTATGCTGTTAGGGATCAGAATTCATCCCACCTTTTGATTTCTTTGCCCCTGGAGATGATATGTAAAGTATGCAAAATTGTCCTTAATTTGCCAGCAGAAAACCTGATTTTTCTCTTTCTCCCCAACTGTAATTGTTATGGGGACATCAGGGCCCTCTGCACTGTGTGCTCGGTCCTTAAATCCAGATCTCTTGTGCTTGTCTGTGTGCCCTGTGATGCTGGATTGCAGCAAAAGGAGCCGTGGCTAAATCTGTATCTGTTTCTGTGTTTCAAGGGCAAAGAATACTATCTTGTGAAATGGAAAGGATGGCCAGAATCTTCAAATACTTGGGAACCTGAGAAGCATCTGAACTGCCCACTGCTTCTTCAGAACTTTCTTAGTGACAAGAATGAATACTTGTCTCGGGTGAGAGAAGGCAAAGCACTGAAAGTGAGAAACCACATTAAAGCTTTGAAACCTGCCATTGCAGATTATGTTGTGAAGAAGGCCAAGCAAAGAATAGCCCTGCAGAGATGGAAGGAAGAACTCAACAGGAAAAAGAATCACAAAGCAATGATTCTGGTAGAAAACACTGTGGATCTTGAAGGCCCCCCGTTAGACTTCTACTACATTAATGAGTATAAACCTGCTCCGGGGATAAATGTGCTCAATGGAATAACGACTGGCTGTGAATGTGCTGACTGCCCTGCTGAGAAGTGCTGTCCAAAGGAGGCTGGGTTTATTCTGGCTTACAATAAACGTAAGAAGTTAAAAATCCAGCCTGGCTTGCCCATCTATGAGTGCAATTCCTATTGTAGGTGTGGGCCTGACTGCCCTAATAGAATAGTGCAGAAAGGTACACCGTATTCCCTTTGCATCTTCAGAACCAACAATGGCCGTGGCTGGGGAGTAAAAACCCTCCAGAAAATTAAAACCAACAGTTTTGTGATGGAGTATGTTGGAGAGGTATGTATCTCCTTAGATGAATTACATACAATAAAGGAAATGTTAGATAAAATCGTTGAGCTTTCTCTCAGTTTTAACACTTCTTGACTTCTTCAGCCAGAGGCTGGTTGGGCACTGAAACAGAGAAGTGGTCACAGCACCAAGCCTGACAGAGTTCAAGGAGTGTTTGGGCAGTGCTCTCAGGCACATGGTGTGATTCTTGAGGTGATCTGCAAAGGGCCAGGAGTTGGACCTCAGTGATCCTGGGACCCCTCTGGCTCAGGATATTCTGTGGTTTTACTACATAGTAGATCAATCTGCTTTTGAGTAGAGAGAGAAATAGACATTCAAGTCGCCAGCAAAATTATATTGTCCAAAACATTCCTTTATTCCAGAGCAGTTGTAAAAGCTCGACTGTAAAGAGAATACTTATCTCATATACCACTGAAGAATTATTTTAGATACGTGCCCTAATAGTATTTCTAAAGGCAGGTCCTCCATTTCTTTTATGACAGTCATAATCTTCATTCTTCCCTGTTCATCTTTACTGTAGTTTTTGATGTTCGTATGACATGGTTGTTATGAAACTCCCAGCACAGTCTGTCAGTCCCTTTTCTGTTTGGTCTGAACTTTTAAGGTCGTATTTCCAAGCATATTTATTACTTTTGATTTATTTCCAAGCAAGAATAACTCTTGTAGTACGGACATTATCTGTTTATTCAATCTCATACTATTTCAAAGAGAACTTTTACGTTATAAAGTAGAGACCTTGAATTACTCTTGAGGTTTTGTATTGCCCTGTGTTTCTGTGGTTCACCCTCTTCTCTGCTTCAGGGCTCTTTGCACCAGCAGTTTCTGGCAGCCTCTCTGATCCAGTGTGTTACATTTCTACCGCAAATCTGCCTTGCTACTGTGTTGTCTCAGAATATTTCCTTCTGTCCCTTTGTACAAAGGTTTATGGTGTTATTTGTATTTCCTCCCTGCCCCAACTCTTCTAACTTATCGTGTTCCTACCAGACATTCCAAATATCTCTGTGGAGGGGTTAATGCAGAAAGTTGATTATGTAACTTTGTTGCTTAAAGGAAAAAGTGTGCATTTACCCTTTCACCTGAATCTACTTCCAGCTGCTGAAGGAGTTCTCAAAACTCATTGGTCAGAAAGATTTCAGAGGAATTTACAGTTCAATTCCATCACATTTTGTATCTGTCTTGCTGCCAGATTATGATTTCTTTGCTGAAATCATAATAAACAGAATGCATTTAAGGTAACAGGCTGCAGATAAAGTAGCTTGAGCTGTTTTCTTCTGTCGAAAGTGACAAGCCCACCTGATTGCATAGACTGACCTTCATGAAGTGATGGGTCTGTCTGAGTTGTTAGGACTAGGATCTTCCGTTGCAGTCAAAAATAGCAGGAAGAGATGCTTCTGGGGAGGCAGGAAATGAACACCTGGCTGTAAATGTGACAGGGTTTTAAAGGCTGGTATCTGTTGATGTTTGTCTGTGCAAAAGGAGAAAGCTGAAACTTGATTTTTAGTAAACAAGGCTTTCTGGGTCTAATGAAAAACGTGTATATAGAAAATTTATGTAGAAACAGTTGATAGTATTGTCATCAAATCTCTTAGTAGAAGGTGCTTTTCCCTGAGACAAAATAGTGCTGTGCATCAGCTGTAGAGAAATTGCATCCAGAGAAGCCTCAGTCACTAATTAGTTTAGTTGTATGCATGTATTCTTCATTCATTTGAGATGGAATGCTATTTCGACATCAAAAACTTAATGTGGTATTTTTTACTAAGTAAAGCTTTTCTCCTAACTTGATTTTGATTTTTGTTTTAATTTAGTAATAGTTAATAATATGATGCAGGTTTCTTTTTTTTCTCTCTTTTTTTTTTTTTTTTTTCAGGTGATTACAAGTGAGGAAGCAGAGAGGCGAGGCCAGCTCTATGACAACCAGGGAAATACATACTTGTTTGATTTGGATTATGACTCAGATGAATTTACAGTAGATGCAGCTCGATATGGAAATGTGTCCCACTTTGTGAATCACAGCGTAAGACCCTGTTTTGTATACTAAGAACTTGGAGAATTATCCTAATTTTGTAAGAAATACCTTCTCATATTGTAAACATTTTCTTACCATATTCAGTTTCTGGGGAGTAGTTTCATGCCAGTCAGTCAGATGACATAGTAAATAGAATGGAATGCTTGGCCTTACTTGGACTGAGACTGCCTACAAAACTCCAGGAGTGAGATGCTGCCTGAAGTGGACATTTGGTAGGACTGGGCTTGTCATTGAATCAGCTGATTCTAGACAACCAGAATGGGGTTGGTTTGCTGTGTTTTCTCCAAGTAACTAAAATACCTAATGTATGACAAGTCCTTAATAGAATAAAGGAGGAGTCAAAGATGACAGGAATTGATGTTATTTTGTAGCAGGGCAGGATAGGGTGTTGTGTTGCATTTCATCCTTCAAAACTTGGTAGGGACACAGATGAAATTTCCTGTGCTTTCTTAGGTATCTAGAGGGAAGAAATATCATTTTCCCTCCTAAATCGAAGCTTGACAGAGAACTCAAAAGTCAATTTTAAGGAGCAGTTTTTTGGTAGTGTTTTACTGAAGTTCAACTGGAATACCTAGAGGAAGAAAGCTGAACTGCATTTGTAAAGATTCCTGAACTAAAAATTATTATTTCTTACTGATCCAGGGTTTGTGAGGTATGCAGCCAGTGTTCTACAAATACAGAAAATTCATGTTTTCATATCTGTGAGATGATGACACCTGTATTTCATGCAGGCTTGCCAGGGAGAAGGATAAAGAAGAGTTTTAGATACAGCAGTTGCTCTTCACTTGCAGAAATGGGAGTGAAGTATTCTCGTTCTTCAGTGTAAAGTTAAATGTCTGTAACTTCACTTCTGATTCTTTAATGTGGGATATATTTCACTACTGCAGAGCTAAAAAGCAGGCAGTGTTTAACAGTCTCAAGGAGACTACTGGCTTCTGACACTTAATCCAGAGAATGGTGAAGTGGTTTCTAGTTCCTGCTTAGTGTCCTGCCACCCAGCCCATGGCAGGGAATTCAGAAGCCAAGCAGGTTTGCAATTAACAATAGAAGTTTATGCACAATATGAAGATGTTATTTCTGACCTGGAAGCAATGCTTAAATAAATACAGTCTAGTGAGTGTGTGAGGCTTGAAATGCTATGTTCTTTTCAGTTTTTTTTTCAACTTTTGTTCTCTTTATGGGTTTTGGAGGTAAATACTAACCTCTGAATGTACCTCTAATTGCTTTGTCACCATTTTTGTTGTCACCTTTGAAGATGCCATTTTTTTTTATAGGCTGCTGCATACTATGTGATCTGTGTAAAGGTTGCCTTCCTGGAAGGACTTGAACATGAGCTATGAATGTTCTCCTTGAACGCTATTTCAATTTGTTCATTTCAGACTTAGTTGCAGACTTCTGTCACTGAGAGAAGAACCTGTTCTTCCTTTCCTGTGACCTTGGTTTGCTTAAACATTTCAGCGAAATTTAGTGTTAATTTTTCTTAACAGAAGCTGCATTCCCTTTTGCTTGCAGTGTGATCCAAATCTTCAAGTCTTCAACGTGTTTATTGACAACCTCGACTTGCGTCTTCCTCGAATAGCACTGTTTTCTACCCGAACCATCAAGGCTGGAGAAGAGTTGACCTTTGACTACCAGATGAAAGGTCTGCACATTTTAACAAGGTTGTTGTGGGAGGCTGGGTGCTGGTGGGTTTTGCTGCAGCCTGACTGATGGTAGCGTTTCAAACGTCACAGCATTTCAGCTCAGGCAGTGCCCTCCCTAACGCATCTCTGGATTTCAGAACTGCCATTGCTCGTGGCATGTTGTGCAGAGAAGATCACACACAGAAGCTTTTGCCTTCATCTCTAATGCATTGCCTCCCTCAGCACTCCTAGCTCACAGCAGGGATTGTGGTTGGATTGTCTGATGAGGCAAATGATTTTGAAGCTTTGTCCCAGGAATGCTCAAAGGAATGGTCAGGCTGCCATTAAATAAAGCTTCCCTTTATGCAAATAGGCACTTCAGATAAACTATTGATCTACTTTCTAAGTAATCTGTGAGTGATAGTTGCTACTCCTCTATGTGGTGTCTGTGACACTGACAGCCAAGGCTGGCTGCACTCTCAGTTGATCCTTGTGGATACAGACATGAGGGAACAAGGCTTGAGTTTGCTGAGTTTTGGATTCTGATGTGTATGCTGGATGTTGTACAATAGTGGTAACAAGGGTGTTTGTAGAGTTTGAGGAAAGCTTCACACCCTTTGATCTGAGGTGTTAGGCCTTTAGAAGATATTTGAATATCAGGCATGGTCTGGGTCCGTCTTTTAAAACTTTATTACTTGTTTTTATCTGTGCTGCAGGTTCAATAGATCTGACTTCAGACTCTGCTGATGGTCTTAGCCCATCCAAGAAGAGGATCAGAACTGTCTGTAAATGTGGAGCTGTGTGTTGCAGAGGTTATCTCAACTGAGTTCGGGTATCCAAAGTCACAAATACTTTGTTCTCTTTTAAATGTGTTTTAAGAAGACTCTTCTTTCACGCATATATTCAAGTATTCTTACATCTAATGTAAATAAGGGCAGTGAAAACAAGGCATTATGTTTGTAATTGAAATGGCATTGGCCAAAGAGATTGTAGTGTTTCAGGCAAATACAAAACTGATACCGGGGATTAAAAATAGACTTTTCTAGAACTGTTGTGTAGGAAGCAGTAAAATGTATGCAAAGAAAACTCTAAAATGTACCTTGATTTGAATATTCACAGAATCCTAGAATATGTTGAGATGGAAGGGACTCATCAGGATCATCAAATCCAACTTCTGCCCCTGTGCAGGACACCCCAAGAGTCACACCATGCACCTGAGAGTGTTGTCTTGAGCTCTGTCAGGTTTGGTGTTGTGACCACTTCCATGGGGAACCTGTTCCAGTGTCCAAGCACCCTCTCAGTGAAAAAGTTTCCTGATATCCAACCAAAACCTCCCCTGACTCAGCCTCATGACATTTCCTTGACTCCTGTCACTGGTCTCAAGAGTGAAGAGACCAGTGCCTGCCCCTCTTCTTCCCCTCACAAGGAAGTTGTACCTGCGATGAGGTCTCCCCTCAGTCTCCTCTTCTCCAGGCTGAACAGACCAAGTGCCCTCAGCTGCTCCTCATTGGGTTGCCCTCCTTTGGACACTCTCTAATGGCTTAATATCTTTCTTACATTGTGGTGCCCCAAACTGCCACAATATTCAAGGTGAGGCCACTCCAGAGCAGAGCAGAGCGGGACAATCCCCTCCCTCGACCGGCTGGCGTTGCTGTGCCTGATGCCCCCCCTGGACAGGGTTGGCCCTCCTGGCTGCCAGGGCACTGCTGACTCAGATTCAACTTGCCACTGACATTCAAATGTGAGCTTACAGCCTTCAGGAGCTGATTCCAGACCGATGAAGTGATGTTACATGTTTTCTGTACCCTGAGAAGTCAGAAGGCATTCGATCTGAATCCTAAATCACAGCTGACAGTTCTTTTGTTTCGAGAGCTCGGCAATAACCTTTATGGCATCAGGGAGAGGGATTAAGGACAGCCAGTGTGCAAATGAAGGTTCACAGGAATGACAATTGCAAAATGTCCATGGAACTCCACGCGAGTGAAGTAATTGGTGTTAGCAGATCCCAGATCCCCAGATCTAAAAGCTTGGAACTTTTTAGCTGATGTTCTGTTATTTAGAAGTTTTTTCAGTTATGTTCTGATTTTTATTTAGGATGTTATAGGAGGACCGCAGTTCTACAGAGGATTTGTAAATACAGGATTGTTGGTAGTAACATTTGCTGTTTGTTTTCATTGCAGAAATTTGGCGGTCATGGCTGAAACAAATTGCTGACTACAGTTTGGAAATAGATAGCAAAAGCTAGGGAGAGCAGCCCATTGTCTAACAAGGTTAATGCAGGGTGGAGATAATGCTCAAGTTATCTGTTAGGTGCAGAAGTACCCTGGAAATTGATGTATATTCACAACTGGTTTCCATTAAGTTTTTACATACTGTGACTTTTTTATCTAGTGACAGACTTCTAAGATATTAGGCCTATATTTTCTGTTTGCAAAAATATTAACTTCAGTGAAGTTAGACTAGGGATGAGTATACCCATTTCCTGTAGACATTTGTAAGATGTTTTTGAATGTAAAGGCTGAGAAACATGCTGTTCTTCAGCTGCTTGAGTCGCCTTTTTTTTTCCTGATCATTTTAAAGTTGTCTTGATCTATTCATAACATATGCTAAGTTTTGCTTGGCTTCAAAACAACAGTTGAAGGGGTTTGGGGTGGAGTTACAGCCAAGGTCCGTGCTCCAGGGATGATCCAAGTGCTTTATTCTCATGGATTAAAAGCTCGTAAAACTTGCATATTACATGTCATGTAAAAGTTGACAGGGTCAGGCAGAACAATGTTGCTCCATAAATGGATGCTCCATAACTGGATGCTAGCTATGTATCATAGGTCAGCTAATTACCTTTATAAGGTGCCCAGCATGTAATTGTTTACTTAATGTTAGCAAATGCCTTAAATTCCATGTTAATTACTAGCACTTGAAAGGATAATACAGGTTGCTCGTTAAAAAGCACAGTTGCATTTGCAGTGAAGATCTGGCCCTTTGGTAAAAAATGACATTTTATATGCTACTAGCCCAGATCAGTATCACAGATGGGGTGAAGAGCATGGGCCACTGGAAAGGCTGTGTGAGTTTTGTAATCTCCAATACAGAGATACATGATAAAATAGAGACTTTATATTGCTTAATGAATAGGAGAAACTTTGCTTAGATTTGAAAGTATCTGATGTGACCAGGCTCACCTGTATTCACGCACTTGGAATCTAGTCAGCTTTTCTCATGCCACACTTCTAATGATTATTTTTTTATTTGAAGTGGAATGTGGAGCTTTCATGTTAGCGAACTCCAGATGATCCTGCATCGTTTGGAGTCATTAGTGCTTTCTCTTGCATGTAGCCCGAGCCAGCGGTGCATTCCATGTGGATGGAATCTGCAGTCTCCAGCTCCTTAATCCGCTGCAGTCGGCAGCCCGCCCTGTCACTGCGGGATGGAGAGAGCGGCTGCGGCAAGAAATGGATTCCTTACTGTGGCCTCGCCCGCGCCCGGGGCACAGGGCGGGCTCCTGTTTCTGTCTCTCGATGTTCATGCCCAGTTTGATTTAAATATTGCAAGTTTAAAAGATAACAGTTGTGGCAGTTGTACCCCGAGCTCAGCATCTGCCTTGTCTGAGGCAGGGAATGTTATCACCAGCGCTGGAAAAACGCTGCTGTTCGCTAAGGATATGTGTGTTATCTTCCGCCATAAATAAAGATCCGTTAATTTATGTTCTGGGAGGCAACAGCATTTTGTATTTATTTGAAGTAAATTCATGTATCCAGTTTCCAGTTTAGAGCCTTGAACAGTATTTTCTATTTACATATGCGCAGTGCATTTTGGATTGCCGTCAGTGAATTAGCTCAAAGGGACACTGTGTCACTTTTAAAACTCCTTTTGCTGTTTCTATGAGTTTGGCTGAAAATTGCCAAATTGGAAAAGGAGAAAAATCTATTTTCAATTTCTTAGGGAACCTAAACCAGCCCAGCTTCTGCCTTTGTTTTGCTTTGTTGGCATTGTCATGGTCACCGGTTCAGTTGTGTGTATGCACTTCCTGGGGACTGGTGGCTTGTCCTCCAGCTGTTCTTTTTTGTTGGGGTTATTTTTATTTTTTGGTAGCAAAACTAAAGCTGCAAGATCACCTGTAAGAAAAGCTATTGTCTATTTATTTAATCTCCAAATTAAGTCAATCTTTTGGTTATTTCTAATGTATGTTTTAGGAACTGTGTACATTAGAATATGCAGTTTGTAAGCTCAGGAACATTTTCTTTTCATACTGTGTGATCTCTAGTATTGCTATCTTCCTATAGTTTTTGATAAAATAAATGAAATCTAGTTTTTCTCTTGTTGTTGTCATTCTTAAAAAAAAATAATAAATCTTAGCCTGTCAAAATTAGCTATAGCAGGAGAAGTTACTTTAAGACTGCAACCTCTTAATTCCTGTCCTGTTCCCAAAATTTTCTAGCCTTGTAAGGACTCCAGCAGAGTAACCATGAGGAAATCATGTGTTTTCAGTTTAGAGCTGGTGAGAAGTGGTATAAATTTACACTGTCAACTTGCCTGAAGCAGACTGGGTTCCTCTGTATTTGAGCACCCTATAAAGGCAACCCTGAACTTACATGCACAGTACAGATATGAAAGAAGCCCACAGAAGTTGTTCTGCTCCATCTGGCTTTATTCACAGAGGTAGTTATAACAGCAGTTCCATTCAGGCTTGCTAAAAACCCCAGAAGTTGATAAATCACATTTGGAAATTACAATAACAAATCCCACAAACACTGGGCGAGGTATCAGTGGAGAAATACATGGATCTTGAATATCCTTAAAATCATATGCACCTCAGAGCAATGCTTTGTTCCCTCCTGCCCCTGTTCCCAGTGTCAGAATGCAGGCTGGTTTAACATTCACATATCACTAAACATGGCACAAAGACTCAAGGCATACTTGGAGGGCAGAGATGTTGTGCTAAAGGTCTGTTTAATTCTTTGGGACTTGAGACCACATGGATGGGAAACCTCAGGGATTTTCAGATGACTTCCTTGGTTTAGATATTTTGTAGGCACTGCAGTTTAACTAAAACCTGAACTACATTTCCATGGTACAACCTAAGAATTTTGGCAGAGAGAGTTATGATGGCACACATGCATAGGGAATGTATTGTCTTGATTTAAAAAAGAATGCAGAGGAAGTGAAATTTTGTAGTACAGAAGCCTCAAGTAATGCAACCACCTGTCTGGGATAACAGGTTACCTTCTGTTGCTGAGTCACCTGCCAGAGCAGGCCAAGGCTGGTGGCTTGGGAACCACAAGATTTTATTTTTAAGTTTTTCTGAAAAACAATTCAGAACAAACCAAAACATGGAGGAACTGATGACAAGTTGTATGCAATGAGTGGGAGTTAAAGCACAGACAGTGGTGTGTAGTACCTCACTCAGGAGTTAAAAGTCAGATTGCACCACTTGCTCAGTGTAAAGAGACACTTATTAAACAGTTTGATTTGACAACAAATTAAAACCCCCTCGCATTCTCAGTAATTCTCTGATCTGTTCTGCGGTTGTTTTTAAAAATAACTGCAGTGAATACTAATTAAATAGTGATAATAATGATAATAGGCCTTGTTTACATGATCATTCCTATGTGTTCCTCCTCACGGTTAACTGTGGTATTTTATTAAAACCTGAGATCACATTACAAGGGCAAACTCTTGGAGCTCATGATCAACACTAAATTTCATTTAGTGCTTAGTTTTTCTGGTCCATTTTCTGGCTACTTACGGTCCTGGAGAAACGAACCTCAGGAGGTAGAAGGCTTTTACAGTCCCTCCTAGGAATACTTCCTTTTCAGTATTTCATGGAAGGAACAATAAAGTTACACAGGCTACAAATTCCTAGTTCTGACAGTAAGATATTTCTGGAAAAAAAATTTGCATGAGTCAGCATAGCTGCAGATAGTAATTGGCACTGAAGAGAAAAAGAATTTGGGTATTAATAAACATTTGGGGTATCACCACGATGTAATCAGTCATACCTGTCCTCAGGAGACTTTTTTCTCACTGAGTATGTTTTCCCCTGCTGCAAGCTTCTTGTATAAATGGCGCAGTTTATCTGGCTGAGGCACTTCAGCATCAGGAGTCAAGGGAATTTCAAAGTCAGAGGAGCTCTGGGAGTCCCTCCTCAGCTCCAGGTCAGGAGTCCTGGAGCTGTCACTTAGCTCCACCAGTGCATCCTGAACACGAGCGGTGTCAGTCTCTGCAGCTTTCTCACAGCCTTTGCTTTTCAAGTCACAGGCACCATCGTAGACACAGGGTCTGCTCTGCCCTGGTGGCTTCCCCCTGCTGCTCTCCAGCTGACTGTCCCTGGCAGTCTCCTGCAGCACAGGAACAACTGCTCTGCTCCCACCTCTGCCGAAGTCCAGGGCGCTTCTCTCCTGGGAGGTGATGAGCACTGTGTCCATTTGGCTATCCCAGCCCTGGCTCCCCTGCTCTGATATGTGTGTCGACTGAGAAGAATTCTGGGAGGAGATGTGTGTTGAGTCACTCACTCCATCCGAGTCACTGAAGAGCGACTGGGACCCACCAGCATCTGCCGAAGAGGGGATGTTGTCCTCATTTTCAGAGCTTTCCTCTAGTTTATTACACATAAAGAATTCATCCCAGCGAGGGACATCAGCATTAGAGTCCTGTTGGTCACTAGTTACTCCACTGAAATTTGCTGTGGAAGTGGCATCTGGCTTATGGGAAAGAACTTGAACTGTATTTTTTTCAGATTCTTCTTCATCATTTTCATCATCTTCATCATCATTATCATCATCATTTGATTCCTCACAGTCCACAAAATCTACCTGGAGGGAGGTGTAAGTTGTGGTTGCTTTGTAACTTTCTGTGCTCTCCTTAGTATTTCCTTCAGCATTTTCAGACTGTCCTGTGCTGGATGGCCTACTCTCTCCTGTCTGCTGTTTTGGAATCTTAGGCCTTGCAGAAGTTAATTCTGAATCAAAGAGATCATCTTCATCTGTCAGGAAACGAACAGAAAAAGCAAGTCACTAAGAGAAGTTCATATCTCTGCTAAAATCTTGTTGAGAGCAAAGTTTTAATAAAAATTCATTTAGTATAAATTGAGGAAAAAGTTCTTTAAACCAGCTGGAGACTTTGTAGGACATTATTGACAGTGTTTGTTTGCCATGCCTTGTCCAGCTCAGTGCCTCACAGAGGGGCAGTTAGAACAAGCTTTCCTACGGCTGGTCCAGGACTGCAGGAAGGAACTCTATCCAAAAGCTGAAAGGACTGTTGAACAACAACTACATTTTAAGACTGCAAACAAGTGTGTTTTCACACAATTAGTGCTCTTAAAATCCAAAGTTAATTTATGTTTTTCCTTTCAAACTCTTGTTTTGAACACAAAGACAGACTGTGGTGAACACCGAGGCTTTTGGCACCTCTGCTTAGTCTCAGACTTTCACTTAAGGTGCAGTAGCACCATCAGAACCTTTACCTGTATCAGATGATTCTCTCTTGTGGACTCTCTTCAGTGTTCCTAAGGGCTTGTACCTGGGTTCCGTGTTTCTCCTGTATGACCTGCATAATGGCTTTAAACTGAGGGGAATGAGAAAAGCAGTTAATGCTTAGAACACAGCAGACACTTTCAGCAGCAGACGTAAAACTTTTAACTTGATGTAAGTACACTGCTCCATGCCTTTCACAGACACTGCAGCAAAAATGTTAAAGCAAAGGCAGCAACACCTAGAGCAAAGCTTTTGCTTCACTGGTGAGCTTGAGCAGCTTAAAGGTAGAGATCTGCCATTTCAATATATTTACCTTAAAACACGTACATCATTTGGAAACTATCTTGTAGTTCCTTACTTAGTGAGACAAGATGAGAGGGTTCAAAATCTAACTACAGTTTTATTCAATAACTGATCAGTGTAAAGTCTCCTTTCTTAATAAAGAAGGAAAAGAAAAAAGGAACAGAAAAAGGAGTCCTGGTTCTGTTCAGTCTGAGTGACACCACTGCTCTGTGAGGGTGCTTTCTAAGCTGCCAATACCTGCAGCAGCACAAGAGAACTGGCCTCTGATGCTGTGCAGAGGGGAGGAGTTCAAGACCTCAAAGAAACGGTCTTCAAAAAGAAACTTCTGAGAAGTTGCAATGAAATGGAAATAGGTCACAGAACACAGTGAGATGAATGCGTATTCAGCTTCCAGAGTTTACCAGCAGGAAAGCCTCCACACATAGATAGAAGTAGTGTGTGGAATACAGACTCTCACACTTAGCATAAAAGTGTGCTCCAGAAAGCTCAAATTTGTGGGACTGCATATAGTGAAAAAAAAGAAAAAAGAATTATCAGACCAGTAAAGCAAAAGGTAGTGTCCCCCCTGAGAGGCCAGGATTCAGGAGGGAAGTTGTTCTTTCAAGAACAGAGAGTTTGGACCACCTCCATCCAGCAGCCATTTGTCACTTACATTTCCATTAGTTTGTCCTCTGTCCCACCCAGTGGCAGTACATTGGGATACACATTCACAGGACAGATATAGCTCAGGAAATCCTTAATCTAAATTCCAGAGAAGAAGAAGCAATTTGGTAAGTTACATCAACAGCTAAGAATTTCATTTAAAGGCAGTACTGATGCAAGCATACCCAAAAGTACTACCACTGGTCTCATGTAAAGACTAATGTGACCCATGAGCTAAACTCTATCCAAGTGGATAGCTCTGGAACAAGAAAACATGTGAAAGGATTCTGAGAACTCAGCCTCACCTAACACCTCCTTGCAATTATCAGCTTCTACACAGACCACCACCATCTCTGAAAGAAAAGGCTGGACACATTTAGAATGTGATCCAGCACTTCCCTGTCCTTACTGCTGTCAATCTTTTCAAACCTGCATTTTGCTTACTGGAATTCAAGTCCCATTTGTGCAGATCAGGTATTCCCTTCCTCAGAGACTTTTCCTAAAGTCTCCCTTCAGTCCCCTGTAAAAGCCCATTTTGACAAAACACATCTGTTTTTCCAAGTCTTACTCTGTTGTTTTCTGGATGCTCTCCAGAAAGTAAATTTCTTGAAGTGTGTTCAGTTTGCAGCACTCCAACTGAGGCTTTGTCAGTGCTGAGCACTGGAAACACTTGCAGGTTGCAGATTACACTCCTATCTGTGCAGACAGCAGAGGCCATCTAGTTTTGGGTGTGGAGGAAGGAGTGTTACACACTACTCCCCATAATCCACCAGCAAAGCTGCCACGTTGCATGTCCTATGCTGGTACCTCCATTTAAAATTCCTCATGGCAGAGCAAATTAAAACCTAAAAAGGATCTTAAAAAGAGGACTGTCTTCCTGGGGCTCTGAGTAATCT